CTAGACCAACACGCAGAAAGATGGCCCTCCGATTTGGCCCAAGTTCCGTCGCAACTTGGGCCAGATCGGACGTTACTGGATTGAAGAGACTAATGAAAGAATGGTTTACCTGAATTAATAACAAGCATGGCTTCATGGCGGCGCCTAGAGCGAGCCGATAAAATCCTGACTGTAATGAGGAATGAGGAAAGAAAAAGAAAAACGATTTTCACGAAAAAATATACAGCAAGAACAATTCACATTGAATATTTGGAAGAGAATAAAATATGGTGTAAGTTCAGAGAGAAGCACTACAATTATTGCATGCGATAATATTTTTACATTTGTCAGCGAATACAGCAATTTTCAGAGACGAGAATTGCTAAGAAGGACCAAAGTAATATCCCGATAACCAAATGTGCTTGGGATCGTTCGTTTTATTTTTTTATTTCCACTCAAAAAAAGCACATTCACATAATTTCTATTCTGTAGAATAATGTCGAGAAAGGCTTATCTAGGATAATCACGGAAGGACTCAAAAACTGGAAGTAGGCGCTACAAAACTTCAAGTAGTTGAGGCGCCTTGTAACATTTCGTTATGTCAGGATCCACCGTTCAGTTTCAGTGACCAATTAGGACCTAGTTAGGCATCGAGTAGGACACTTTCTTGAGTTGCCAGCCAATTGTTGTTCTATAATTGGAGTGTTTGTAAGGGAATATGTTATACAAATGGTATAGTATTTTTTCCCTCTTTATTATTTTCACCCTACTGACTGGCTAGTTTTTGTCCCCCTGCGCGTGAAGATCCACAAGTTGAACCACGATTTTGGCCATCACGCAATCAGCAACAATTATCAAAGAAAGCAGTACGAAACGGTCGGACAGTAGCCGAAAAGGATTGCGATCTAGGAGTGAGGAGAGCTTTGTTGTGAGAATAAAATCAATGGGGAATAATCCTCCGGGGCAATTCTGTACATAACCGTAGGACTTGTGGGAACCAGGCGTTTTCGCGCTGAAGCGCTCTCTGCGCCCTTTTTTTAGGACATACCTTCTGCTTTCAGAGGACCAAGGGACGGGCAATTGCTTCTTGGCTGCAGCCGACCCCTTTAGCCAAGCCCCGAGTTGTGGTGCAATGATTTGGAGGCACTGGTTCAGCCAATTTCTATTCATCCAATTCAACCAGACGTACAGTACAAATCTTTTCAGTGAGACCAAGCAAGGCCTACCTTAACTGCATAGTATTTTAATTATTTTCTAGTTAGAAAGTGTGAAATAAAAAAGTGTTTTAACTTAAAGGAATCTTCCACGGAAAAAGCTCCGCCTCCATTACCACAGAAAAACGATACCTTAGGCCCCTAGCCTCATGAGCATAGCAAAAAGAACGGAACATAAGCGTTAGTTTCGATAATACTAATCCTACACACAAGACAAAATGATCACTCTTTCCGTGGAAGATTCCTTAAGGTAACCTGATACGTAGACCAGAGCAAGTGCCTACAGGCTGGTTACTGTATCACTTCCTAAGAGATAGTGCAGAAAAAGGTGGGTCGAACAAGTACTTCTAGTTCAAGGCAAAAAAGAAATCAATACGTACGCTTGTAGATTTGTAGATTCCCAAGCAGATTCATGACTTTTGACACCTGACACCTACTCTGTTAGAAATGCCTTTTAAAGTTGGACTTTCGTCAGGTTTCGGAGGAAATAATTGAAGCAAAAGAAAAGCGAAGCAGAAAAAAGGTAAAAGCGAGCGAGGCTACGACCTAGGGAGAGCGGAAGCTCCCGGCTCGATCAGAAGCCTCAAATGACTTCTGAGTGAGGTATATCAGTGAGTTGGTGAACAACATGGCGACTGAACCGAACTAGACCCTGAAGGCCGCCCTCCCACAGCAGCAGTCTCATGACCCTCCGGAGAGAGTCCGGCCTCCTTTCCGCGCTCTCGGTCTCAGCATCATCCACCGTCCCTCAAGCAAACATTGCCTGCGATCTCTCCTCTTTGGACGTGCTCTGGCGTAATTTCGATTGTCTTGTCTGCATTGTTCGGACTGTCAGCGAGTTTGTTTATCGCATCAAGAAGAAGCCAAGGAGCAGCTGTGGCCAATGAGGGAGTCAGGGGCGGTCGGATGGGTGGTGACTGCTGAAAATATCCAGATGAAGTGCGCTCGAGACGAGCGCGTGTTGAACGAGACAGAGAACTGCTGAGGGCTTGAGTGTCCAAGGTGAACGGGGATGACAGCGCAGCGGTCAGCCAAAACAATAGCGCACTCGTCAAGACAACAAGAAAACAACACTGAGTATGCTAATCGTGCCGAAAAGCTATCCAACACATACAACAAACAAGCCAGTCCATTTAGGCTCCTGGTCTATTCATATCACTCGCGAACTGGAACTTGATTACTACTGAGAAAATAATCAAAGTAAAAGATGATTGGGATTACAGTACAACTAAGGACACAATAGATCATCCCCTGAACCTAAAACTCTATTTCTGCCTGATTCAATATGCAAAGAATTGCTTTCAGCCAAAAAGCTTGGTGTTATTAGGAAGATCGATGAATTTTCCACTCTGAGTTAATCACTTGGATGCGCCACACACTTGACTCACGGTAGGACCTGTGAAGGCATTTTCATGTTTCTCACAAGGGAGGTCTTTCAGGGTGTGCCAACCAGGGTTTTTTTCTTTCAAGGGTTTTTCAAAACGGTCTTTTGCATGATATAGAGGCACATGCGGGAACCACAGAACCATGGTTAATTTTTCCTGAACGGCCCTCTGAATACCAGAAAAGGGGGTCCCTAGTCACACCTTTTTCACCAGTTTTTCAATCAAAGTCTATTTGTAAGGGTTTACTGACGTTCCTAATCATGAATTGGTACTAATTATTCATGCTAACTCCATTTTGGAAACGTCAACTCGAAATGCAAAAATTTGTCACCACGAGGAATCGAACTAGGGACCCCTTTTCTGGTATTCAGAGGCCGTTCAGGAAAAATGAACCATGCTTCTGTGGTCCCCATATGTGCCCCAATGTCATGCAAGAAACCATTTTGAAAAAGCTTGGCACACCCTGAACGACCTCCCTTGTCAGAGGAGGTTGGGCTGTTGGATGATAAACCGTGCTGAAATCTGAAGTTCAAACTTAAGAACAAGCTCATTCCTGGTAAAGAGTGTACTGGTGCCTTGACTAATCCCAAACAGGCTCGATCCCATGGGCTGTGCAAGCTCAATGTAACGCGTATAACCGCTGTCCTTAACCCTTTCGGACCTGAATTTTTCCCCGTGGAGAAATTTTTCTTCTAGCTATTGTTTATTACTTGTGAGCATATAGGTATCATTATGGCGAAATTTGGAAGCTATTCGATCACAAACAAAGAAACTAAGAAGCTTTGAAAATTGGCCCACCTTCTTAGTTTTTAAGCTTATGTCGAAACAATTCCAAATTTCATAGTTATGCCGAAAAAGTTTATAATCTTGCAAAATACACTTACTTGGCCGGTTGCGGGGGTCAGCGCCGATTCATTGTTGCACTTGTACACAAATACTTGTAATACTAACAGCAACACACAATGAAATGGCAGGTTTAGCTCATAATTAGGAAGGGGAAGGTTGACTGAAGCAAACCTCTAGCAGGATTAGAAAAACCATGCTGTTTCAGCGGCAATGCAAGCGTTTGAATTTGGTGGTGGCAATTGCCACCGCCAGGGCCGAAAGGGTTAAACTTAGCAAAACAAGCCCCAATTATTATTCGAAGAACAAGCATTCCTATATAAAATGTGTCCGGCATTCGACTTCCATTGCATGTTGCAATGGTTTCAAGTACAAGTAAGTACCACAACTGACTTGGTGAGTATGCCGCTGTTCTACTCAGATCTACCTTCCCAGATGCACCTGGTGGCAACCTCAACATCCGAGTGGCGATATGGAATTCGGTCATCATCAGTACCCAGGTCAGATTGTGCATTCTTCTATTTTTATGTTCTACTTTTGCTACAGAGGTTGTATTCAGTCTGACAGGACCTAACGATCCTCCAGTCACAGAGCATTTAAAAGATTAGACTTCACAGAGTTATTTTAGTGGATCCATCCGCAACATTGGACCTGTTAGAACACAACTACGCTACCGAGGTCTTTCAGGGCGTGACAAGCTTTTTGAAAACGGTCTTTTGCATGATATAGGGGCAGATGCGGGAACCACAGAACCATGTTCAATTTTTCCTGAACGGCCCTCTGAATACCAGAAAAGGAGGTCCCTAGTTCGATTCCTCGTGGTAACAAATTTTTGCATTTCGAGTTGACGTGCCAAAATTCGCGCAAAATGGAGTTAGAACCAACCAGAACAATCAGAACTCCATTTTGCGCGAATTTTGGAACGTCAACTCGAAATGCAAAAATTTGTCACCAAGAGGAATCGAACTAGGGACCCCCTTTTCTGGTATTCAGAGGGCCGTTCAGGAAAAATTAAACATGGTTCTGTGGTCCCCGCATCTGCCCCTATATCATGCAAAAGACCGTTTTCAAAAAGCTCGTCACGCCCTGAAAGACCTTCCTGGTTAGTCCCCGTATAA